TCCCAAAGTTCACCTTTCAGCCAAAGATTAGACAGGCCTATAAAACAAACAATAACACACTTGAGGAACATGCTTCTTACTCCAAGTATACGAGACCAAATGGGCAACACCTGCCTGAAAACAAAGATGAGAAGGCAGGAAGGGACAGGAAAACTGGAGGAATGGACACGGAGAACCCAGGGTATAAAGGGAAAGGGGGAGAGTGCTGACACATTGTGGGGACTGCAACCAATGTTACAAAACAATTTGTGTATAAATTTTTGAAAGAGAAACTAATTTGCACTGTAAACTTTCACCCAAAGCACAATAAAATTTAAAAAAAATTAAGGAAATCTGAATAATGTATCAATATTGGTTCATTAAGTGTAACAAATGCACCATACTAACGCAAGATGTTAGTAACAGGGAAAAATGAGGTGCAGGGTATATGGGAATTCTCTGTACTACTGTCTCGATTTTTCTGAAAATCTAAAACTATTCTAAAAAATAAAGTCTATTTAAAAATGCTCAACTAAATCCAAAAAAGAAAAAGAAGAAACAAAAAACAAATGGAACAACTGAAAACAATTAGTAAGACTATAGATTTAAATCCAATCACATCAATAATCACTTTACATGTAAATAACCTAAAGATACCAGTTCCAACACAGGTTGTCAGAATGAATAAAAACCAAGACCCAACTATATGCTTCCTATAAGAAATTCACTTTAACTATAAAGCCATAGACAAGTTAAAAGTAAAAAGATCAAAAAAGATATAGCATGCAAACACAAACCGATAAAAGCTGGAGTAGCTATATTAATTTCAAAGTGGACTCCAGAACAATGAATACAAGGGATAAAGAGGGATATTACATAACGATAAAGGAATCAATTCTCCAAAAAGACATAACAATCCTAAATACGTAGGTTCCAAACAACAGAGCTTTAAACTACCTGAGGCAAAAACTGATACCTCTGAAAGGAGAAATGGACACTACTACAGTTGGAGACTCGACACTACTCTAACAGTACTTACCATATTTTAACGCAAATAACGCGTCCCTTCTACGTTTGTTTGCCAACTGTGCCCTCTCCCTGCAAGGTATTTTTGTAAATGCGCTATGCTAATATTTTAATAGCAACATGTAAAAAAAACTGGCATGGCGGCGCTTATAAAAATACTCTCCAGGGGGCGGGCGAGGTTGGTAAACAAACATAGAAGAAGGCTTGTGTTATTTACGTAAAAATATAGTAATAGAACAAGCAGGCAGAAAATCAGTAAGGATTTAGATGACCTGAAGAAAATGCTACAAGTCGACCTAATTAACATTTATAGACTACTCCACCCAACAAGAGCAGAATACACGATTATCAAGTGCAAATGGACCTTCACCAAGACAGACCATTAGTTTTCCATTGCTGCTGTAAGAAACTACTACAGACTTAGTGGCTTAAACAACACAAATTGTTGTTTAAGTAGTTCTGTAGGAGAGAAGTCCAACGTGGGTCTCACTGAGCTAAAATCAACAGGTCAGAAGGGTTGCACTCCTTTCTGGAGGATTTATGGAAATTCTGTTTGCTTGCTTTTTCTAGCTTGTAGAAGGCACCCACAGTGCTTAGGTAGTGGTCCCCTTCTCCATGTTCAAAGGAGGCAATGTTGGATCTCTGTCTCTTTCTTGCATAGTACATCTTCCTCTTCTACTTTGAAGAACCCTTGTAATTACATTGGGCCCACCTGGATATCCAGAATAACCTCCTTATTTTAACATCAGCTGATAAGCAACCTTAATTGCATCTACAGCTTTCATTCCTCTTTGCAACATGACATAAAATATTCACAGATTCCAGGGATGAGGACATGGATATCTATGAGGAGGGGGCATTATTCTGCCTACCACAGGGCTATAACAGGAGAATGAATAAACAAATTGTAGTATATTCATATAATGGAATATTACTCAACAATAAAAAAGGAACTACTTATATATGAAATAACATTAATAAATCTCAAAAACATCATGCTGAGCAAAAAAAAGCCAGACATAAAAAAGTACATACCATATGATTCCATTCATATGAAGGTATAGAACATGCAAAATGAATCTACAGTGATAGAACTCAGGTTTCTGTTTGCTGGGGGCCGGGGTTGGAAACTGACTGCAAAGGGACAAAAAGGAACTCTCAGAAGTAATGGAAATACATCAGTCAAAACTCAACACACTGTACACTTAAAATATGTAAATTTTATCATATGTAAATTATACCTCAACAAAGCTGATTTTAAGAAAAGAAGACACAGGAAGTCATGAAACTATTCCTGAAGTCAAAAGGATGACATCTGTCTATAGAAGAATCCTGATCAAAAGGGGGAAAATGTAGTTCAGAATTTAAAATTCTCATGGACTCCAGACTTTCTGGAGCCATGGAGGCTGGATGAACTCCCAAAACTATTGCCCGGAGATAATCTTTAAAGCTTAAACCAAAAATATCCCCTGAAGTCTTTTTAAAACCAAACAATAGTTTAGCTTAACTAGTAAAATAATGTCTGCCTTAAGCATTACGCTCTTTTAAGTATTATCTCTGTGGGATCAAATTGACAAGAGCAACTCAAAAGATTAGATAGGAAACTTAGGGGGCAGTGAGTTTATTTTAATGAGGGAGGAACAACTCAGGAAAGGAAGGTGAGAATGGTTGAAGAATGTAGTCTGCTCCAAGAATGTAGTTAATGTCATTGAATTGTACATGTAGAAACTGTTGAATCAGTATATGTTTTGCTATGTATATTCGCAACAACAACAAAAAGATGACATCTGACAACCCTTTAGCAACCAAAGAGTTCTCTCTAGAAGACCCAAGAGGCCTGTCTGGAGCTCAGGAGATCAAAACTCCAGAGGCTCTGGTCAACACTGTGTCTCATTGAGCTGTCCAGGGTATTAGGACGCTTATTCTTGAATCTTGGCTGTCTCCGGGCCTGTCCAGGGGTATCAAAAGGACCTCTTCCTACCAGAATCCAGCCCAGCCTGTCCCTGGTTCCCAACACAGCACTATAACCAAAGACAAATGGCAATAAATGCAACTACAGTGACGGTTGCAGGACCCTGCTATCAGGCCTGTTCCTGTACCAGAGTTACACAACTACACTCACACACCCTACCCAGGGCACGCATTTCAGGAAGCAGGATGACCTGAGATTTCACCCATGGGAAGCACTGGATGTGACTCACAGAAGAGAAAGCCAGGAGCCAGCTCGTGGGAGGGGGCAGCCCAGGTGAAGAAATATCTTAAAATCACCCACAAGCGAAAGCCTCCCAACAGGCTAACATGTTTCTCACACTGAAGTCCCCTCGGGGGGCCTTTAGGAGATACATGCCTGAGTGGATACAAACAGAACCCACCACACATACACACCATTTTGTAGTCCCCCCATCCTCCCTATTATTTTCTAGTATCATTGTATTTAATGATCTAGGTTCAAAAGTTTATGGTACATTCTGAGGAGTGTGCTCTCTGGAGGAAAAGCCAAAATATATGACTAATTCAAATAGTATAACCAACATATTTTCCAAGATATAATAAAAACTCAAAAATTTTCCAATGTAAAATTTATATAACTAATTTGGATCAGTTTGCTGCAGAAGTTGGAGTCATACATTTTTATAAAAATGTAAATCATATGAATGATATGTCTGTGAGTTTAAAAAGTGGAGTGCTTCATAATCTCTGAAACTATGAGCAAGAGCCCATCTTTCAAATTTACTAGAGACAAAAAAGGAGTGACAAGGTGAGCTAAAGATGCCTTTACAAGTTTCATGCTTCATTTCTGTCTGCAGATAAAGAAATGAGGCTCTCTGAGATTCAGCGGCTTGCTCAGTTCCCGCTCTCACAGTGACACTGGTGGTTTCCGTGTGGTTTCAGGAGTCACTGGTGAGGGATGGTGAGAAGGTCAGAGGACCAAACCCAAACAGGAGCCAGTGGATAGGCAGGCTCCAGGCTTTTGGTATATTTGGATTCTGTAAAAGGTCTCATTTGGAAAAGAGGTTCTAATGTTTAAGAATATGACCAACACAGCCCAGTAAAACCAAATGAGACTAACGAGGTATAGGAGTGCAGTGACAAGGGCCAGAAGGCAGAAGGGGACAAGGAAACTGGTGATAGGGAACACAAGGGTGAGTAAGGACATTGTTGATGTGTTGTGAGATTGTTAACCATTGTCATAGGGCAACATTTGTAGTAACTGTTAAATGAGAAACTATTTTGTTCTCCAAGCCTTCCTCTTAAGTGAGAATAACAGCACAATTCGAAGAGCGTAGTCAATGTCACTGAACTGTGTATGTAGAAATTTTCGAAACGGTGTATCTTTGGCTATGTGTATTTTCACCAAAAAAAAAAAGGTTGAGAATTTAGAGGGTTAATATGTTGTGGGGTTGTTAACCA